AATATTCATTTTTATTAAAGTATACACATAAATAACACTATATTTTAACATTTTTTAATAATTTATAATATAAGGGTCAGATAATAACAAACACAAAATGACTTACGATCGAAGACCTAGCGGCCAACCGTGTTACAAAATACCGCGCGCCTAACGTTGGCTAATGGAGGGTTCAGATGCAAGTCGGCACGGGTTCCCGTTTATAGAATGAGCTGGAATTTTTACTGGGAGTATATAAACAAGTTATAAATATAATTAGAGGGTATGCGTAAAAAAAATAAAAATAAGGGACACCCTAATATACATATATATATATTTTTTTTTTTCAGAACTTTAAATATCAAATTCAAAAACATTTAAAAATGAGTTGTTTTTTAATGAAATGGTTAAACCATTGATTAATACGAGTATACTCCTTCACTCAACGGTTTAACATTATTGCAGTTGTAGATAAATTATAATTTATAATTATAATTAGAGTACAGTTACGGAAAATAGTAATGTCCATTTAAATGCTCAAGTATTCGAAAATAGTCAACATCTGCCTCTTAGGGATTAACATGTCTACATTTACATATTTACATATTTAACCGTATTTTTATTAAATCGTTCATTTTTTTATAGTTTTATAAAATTTATACATTTCTTCTATGAAAAAATTTTAAAATAACTTTTTAGGCTAAAAATATTATGAAGTTGTAGCTTTTTAGAACTTACTTTACATTTTTGAGAACTAGCAATGATTCAATACACTATGCTACATCATAGGAATAAAAAACACATTTTATTACTTGTTGCAGGTATATGTGTTAAAATTAAAAAATATATTTAGAATATTTATATTTGGTATATTTTTAAATTAAATATACTAGGATTTATCAAAAAAAGTTTGATATAATTATAATAAAAAAGTAAACATACCTATAAAACTATAACATACATATAAAACTATAAAACATATAAACATACATAGGTATGTATAAAACTATAAAATATATAATATATATTTATATATAATAATTATTTAAGTATCAAAATTTAAAAAATATATTTAGAATTGTTATAATTAGTATATTTTTAAATTAAATATACTAGCATTTATCAAAAACCGTTTGTTATAAATATAATAAAAAAAATAATATACATATGAAACTATCTAAAAAAATGGTTCTGTTAAAATGTAAGCTCTTGTTATTAAATTTACAGATCCCTCATTTTTTATAGTACTTTGAATAACTCGTCAACGGATTACTGGGCCAATAAAACTAAAACAAATTTTTGTTATGATAAATTAATTCTTTTAAAAGGTATTCAAGGTAAAAGTTCCAGATTTTCCTACTTTTTTAGAGAAAAAATTTATGGTAAAATTTAGTAGAACCCTTTCTTTAAGAAAATATTCTGCTAAAACAATGCGCTAAGAAAGCGGCATTTTTATTAAAAAAAAATGGTTAATAATTATTTAACATTTCTTTTTAAACAAAAATTCCGCTTTCTTTGCGCATTGTTTTAATGAAATATTTGGGTGCCACTAAATTTTACTATAAATTTAGTTTTGCTGAAAAAGTTGTAAAAAATTATAATTGAAGCGTGGTATTCCCAAAGGGTTTGGCCCCAATTTGGTCAAATATTAAATTATTATTTAAAAATAGGCTATGTGCCAAGCAAAAAGACCTAAAAAATATTTCAACTCCATATTACTTTTTATCTACTATTTTCATTGATTAATCACAATTTTATTTTTGGCACTTAGACCCTTTGGGAAACCAAGCTTCAATTATTATAATAATTATAAGTTTATGCCGTTTTCATATTTTATTGGATTTTTATACATTGAAATAAGTTGGTATTGGGCAGTTATTTCATAAAACAAGTAAGAAAAACTAAAATGTTCATAAACGGATTAAAAGTGAATTTTTTTATAAGCACAAAATGCATTTTAGTTTAAAATTTTAATGGCTTTAATCAACATAGTAAGAATAAATATTTTAATTCAAAGTGCCCAGGTAACAAAAAATCACATAAAAAGGTAAATACATGCATGTAATGCATTAAAGAGGGTTATTAACAATTTTATTTGCAAAATTATGCAAAAGTTTATAATTATTTTAGTATTAAATAACATGTAGTTTATTATATAAATAATAGAACATATATTATACTTAAATTATTTTAAAATCGATTTTATTTCTTAAATATTTAAATGATTTAGATTATTGCATAAAAGCTTAAAAGTCAAATTAAATGTAGGCAGAAAGAATGATAAATAGCAGGTAGGTAAAATAAATATGTTAATTTTATTACCAAAACCCGAACAATTACAATGAAGCATTCAAATCGACATTACTATTTTCCGTAACTGTACATTACGCAAGATATAAAGCAATTACGCGACTTGCGGAGTAACACACTCGCCGCGAGCTCGTAATGTTGCACTTACATCTCTTGTTATATAATATAATATTATCTGACAACGCAGTAACTTTGTAAAGTATTTATATGACAAAAATATTCCACACAATTTGATGCTCCATATTTATATTCCAATAAAATATTGAAAATAGTTCATTTTACTTTCATGAATCCTTAGAAAGTATTTGTATTGTAGGTACAATTACCAAGATTATACGGTATAACCCCTTTGTAATCAATTTTGTTTTATATAACAAAAGTATTTACTTTTTATAGATATTTGTGTTAAACAAATAACTATTTATAAACACCTTAGAAATCTGGTATACATACTAAAATTTATTATTTATAAATTTAGGGCAATGTTTTCTTATTTTAAAATTATTTTTATATGCTTAGTAAAATATGGTAAAAGTTGTCATTTTACTCCTTTTTCGCGAAAACACATAATATGGCCGAAAAGGTGTTTGAATATTATTTAAACTCCTTCTTCTTGCATTGACTGCAAATTTAGATACAGGTAGGTACAGGTTTGAATCAATAAAAGATGAAAACCCATCTATACATGAATATATAAACAAAGGATTTAAAATAAGGCTAATTTTAGAATGGCGCAATTCTTTACACAAATATTCTGGGTAAGTTATAGCATTATTATAAAACTTTTTATATATGTATTATTCTTTAAGCAACATTTAAATATAATAATAATAATAATAATAATTAAAACATTTATTGCATTCCCATGGCTATACATTTGTTGGCCTAAAAGATCTCCAGGCATTGAGCAATTGATCAATTTTTTTATTAGGTGGCTTTTAAAATTATAAAGGATGTCCCTTTAGAAAATTATTTCCCATCTCTATGTTAATAATTATTATTAATTAATTATAATTAATCTTTAAACATAAAAATAACATAAATCAAATTTAATTTTTAAACCTTTATAAATTTAAAAATACTTTTCGAAAAATTTTAATTTATTATACTGCATACACCGTGTTATACCGTTAGATCGCAAATTTTTTAACATCATGTATATAAAATGAAGTTGGGATGCCCTGAGTATACTTACGTATGAGAAATAGTGCAGGCAGCAGGGGTATGCAGATGTATTCCGGGGCCCAGGTAAAAACTGTGGGGCTGCGAGGTCTACTTATTTTTAATATTTATTTTTACTCTATTTTATAAAATTGTATGACCCTTAACTTAAAATATAAAAAATATTAAGTAGGCCCCCAAATATTAAGTAGTCTTTCTCAGTCCAACAAAAAACTATCTAAAATTTAGGGTTTTAAAATTTTAAAATAGAGCCGGCGGAAAAAAACGGGTTTTACCAAAAAAAAATTGGGAAATTTTCAGAAAAATTGACTTTTTGCATTTTTTTATTTTATTCAAAGAGTAATACGAAAAAATGCAAAATTCAATTTTTCTAAAAATTTACAAATTTTTACAGATATGTACAAAGTACCATCCGTACACTGATAGCGAGAAAAAAGTGAATTTCCGACGCTGAATATAATCATAATATCATTTTTTTAAATCAATTTAATTTAATTCAATATTCAGTTTTATTTTTTTAAATTAAATTAATATTAAGCTGTTGATTGCTACTATTTTCAAATGTATATATTTAAAAAAAAATCAATTTTTCCCAAAAAAGACATTTTTTTAAGACCTGCTTTTTTCACCAATTTTTTCGACACTTTAAAACCCTAGTAGGTATAGGTATGAATATTTCATGACCCAGGTTTACCATAGAATATAAACTGATTAAAAAAAAATACCCCGGAGATATTAAGTTTCTAAAGAATAACATGCTATGAAAAAAAAAACAAAATATAAACTCAAAACTAAAAAAGATTTTTAATATTTTAGTCTCGGGTGCCCCTAGGTGCAATCCATCAGGAATTAGAAAAAAGGTTATAATTACATTAAATAATGGTTAATCTTAGACTGCCACTTATAAGTTCGTTGGAAAAAGCTTATAATCAATTTTCATATCCCTGATTACATTAAGAGTGTTGCAAAGGACTTGCTAAGAGGATCTACTAACAAATTTAAAATAACAAAACAATAATTTTTAAAAAACAATCACATTAGGGGCCCCATTTTATTTTACCGCCCCCGGCCCCCGACGGATTTAGTCCGCCACTGAATGGTGCCACTCTTTTAACGAAAATTTTCCTTAGCGTTATACCATTGAGTAAAGGTTATACTAACCATATTTAGTTTTGCGCAGTATAGCTTGATGATAAACTTTCAATAATTTAATATTGTTAATTTGGCAATCAAGTTTAAATATAATCATTTTAATTGGAACATGCCCCTTTAACACCACCTAATTCAGTATAAATAAATAAATTCAACCCTTATTTATAAATATTTGAACTTAACTGGATTAAAAAAAATATCGTGAGCAGAAGAATGTATATGCCTTACTTTAATTTAAGGATGTTTTTGCTTTTACTGTTTATAAATTAACTACTTTTCAACATATTAAATTATTTTTGTTTAATTACCAGTAAATTAAAATAAATAACACGCATTGATAAAAATACAGATATAAATATTATAAAATATAATCTTACCTTGACAGAAAATATGAAGAAATTCTAATTAATTATTTTTCGGACAGCTTAACACGTTTTTATATAGTCGAAACGCGGGGTTGGTGCGTAGTCAAGTTTCGGTGCGCTACTAGAAAGTTTTGCGAGTTGATGGGGCGCCAAGTTTAGGCGCCGCGATGGCCTGATCGCGCGCATTCATACAGCACGGCGTCGACGTATATACACGTGTTTTCAACTTTTAGAAATTGCCGAGCTTTTGAATTGATATGTCGCGGCCTTATCGAACTGATATGCAGCTTTTTATTACACGAAAAATCCGACATTGTGACAAGATAACATAGGATTCTATCGCTTTTAGAAGCCTTTTAACTTATTAAAGTTTTATCAAAAGTATTGTTACTTTTACAAATTATTATTTTGTTTTTTGAGTGTCTATCTGTGATATTATTTTAATTATCTTAAAATATTTATAATTATTGTCAACTTATTGTTATTTAACGATTATTTCATAAATACAAATTTCTCAGATATGGTTAAAATATAATAAAAACTATTAAAAAATAACATATTAAATGCACGTTTAATATAGCCTAATGGATGGTTTATAATGGCAATAACCATATTCTCTAATCCGCAATTTCCACTGCGAGTTAAATGCGAATTACATCTAAACTTAAAGTTAAATTTGAAAATCTATATTTCAATGTCTGGATTACTCTAATTTGTGAGTTAACTCGCTTTACAATTAACTCGAAGCTCAGGTACAAGTTAACCTAGACATTGTGAATTAACTTATGTCAATTTGACAACATTAAACTGTTATACCTCTAATATTATATAATATAATATATAATACATAATATATTATGTATCATGGATTTATACGATATAAACGCTTACAGTGATGATGAAGAGATCCCAATTCGTAAGCAACGAGTAGTGCGGGAGCGAATTAACCATTTTGAAAAATGGGACAGAAAAGAGTTTTTTAGCGGTTTCGTTTATCTCCCCAAACAGTTGAGGACCTATTAGAACAAATTGAGAATGTTATTTTATATACAAGTGATAGGTAATAACTAAATTTACAAATTAATGTTTTTGTAAGGAAAATAAATATTTGTTTTACAGAAATGACGCACTTTCAGCGGAAAATCAGTTATTAATGACCCTCCGATTTTAAGCCACTGGATCTTTTTTAAATGTAGTAGGTAGCAGATTTTTGTGGGGTACACATATCCACTGCTAGTAAAACAATCAAACGAGTAATCCACGCAATAGCTAGGCTGAGACCACATTATATAAGAATGCCGATTGATGCTGAGGAAATAGCTAAATGTCAAACGAATTTTTTTAATATTGCAAGGCTGCCAATGTGTATAGGGGCCATTGATTGTAGCCATGTAAAAATACAATCCCCTGGTGGAAAATTTGCTGAAATGTATAGAAACAGAAAACAGTATTTTTCAATTAATGTCCAAACTATTGCTAATGCAAATCTTAAGATACGGAATATTGTTGCCCGCTGGCCAGGAGCAACTCATGATGCTCAAATATTTCGAAATTCTACAATTCTGCAGTCATTCGAAAGGGGACAATTTAGAAACTGCATCATCGTTGGTGACAGTGAAAGCTCTACCTTTTAACACCACTGAGGCAACCAGGAAACGTAGCAGAAAATTTGTACAATGAGACAAATTCGCACACGCAATGTCGTCGAAAGATCTTATGGAGTTTGGAAAAGAAGGTTTCCGGGATTGGCTTTAGGACTTCGATTAAAAACTGAAACAATACAAGCTTTAATAGTGGCTACAGCGGCAATACACAATATTGCTTGTGAAATGCAAGAAGATATACCAGAAATAACTGATGAAGAAGAGGCAGCGATTAACTTAGTAAACAACAATGCTCCAGTAGTAAATGATTTACCAGAAATTAATAGAGGTGGTGTTAATATCCTTACAAGATATAATTTAATTAATAATTATTTTGCCAGATTATGAATATTATTAAATATTTTAATAATAATAAATATTTTAAATGTTTATATTTTTATCCAAAATTGGCAGTAAAGTAGTCAATAATCGGCAGTAAAGTAGAAAAAATCGGCAGTGAAGTAGAACTTTACTGCCGATATAATACAGGTATTGTACACAGAGAAAAGTAATCTCTTAATTTAAGAAAATGCATTTATTTGAAACAGGTTTTCTTGTATGAAGTAAAATTTTATTATTCGTAGTAACTTGTTAATTACAATAAGAAAATACTAATATTTGGTTGTAAATCATAAGTTTTTTTAAAACAACTTATTATTTTGATTAATTGTAAAGAAATATTTATTTAGAGCAATTAATTAAATTGTTTGGATGTAGGTTTTGTTTCTTTAAGCTTCTACTAAACCTGAGATAAAAAGTCAAATAAACCCAAGTTTTCCACTAAATAAATATCTTCTTGTAGATATCGAAATAAATAATTTATTTGAGCCAAGCCAAATATAGTAAAATCAAGAGATTACTTTTTTCTGTGTATGCAACAAAATATACATTTTAATTCAACCTCAATAAACAACGCACTTTATCAGACCGTTCATAAATGGCTGCCCAATTTATCCATAAAATAATAATAGAATCACGGATACCAACATAAAGATAAACTTCTTAACTTAGAGTTACTAAACTCGGGTAGCAAAATCTTTGGAAAAACCCATAAAAACGTAACTTCAAGTTAACTCCGAGTTTAAGTTAATCTTAGGTTTACTAACACGAAAGTTTACTCGCATTGGAAATAACGGGCCTTATCTGTATTCTCGTAAAAATTGCCTTGCGGTTTATAATGGGAATTAAAAAAGATTGCAGACATCTGTATTATCAATATTATTGTCTTTGATTATAACCTCTAATATTGACAGTTGACATAAATATTTACCAATTTACCTAGAAATAATTTTTTTGGTGTCCTAAGGTAAGATAATGTAAATTTGTTATTAATATTACATTTTACTGAATAAATTTTAGGTATTGTTAAATAAAAAGAGTACAATAAAAATGACTGGTGAGGACGAACTTGTAGCAGTCGGTTTACTCTTAACCATTATAACCGCTGCGGCTGTGGCAATAAAATCGCGAAGAAAAAGAAGATGGTCCGTACACCCCATTAACCAAGATCGAAAAGCGCAAGGATATTATAACAACCTATTTAAGGAAATTAAAACAATGCATCCCGAACAATTCTTTAAATTTACAAGAATGACTAAGGCTTTTAACTATTTGTTAAGTCTAATTCAACATAAACTAACTAAAAGAAGTCATCGGGAACCATTAAGTCCTGAGCACAGGCTGGCAATAACGCTGTTTTATTTAGCCCATGGTTGTAGTATGCAAGTAGTTTACTGGGGTTTCAGAGTGGGAAAAAGTACAGTTTCAATTGTTGTTCGTGAGACCTGCCAGGCAATTTGGGATGTATTATCACCGGTTTATCTAAAAAAACCCACTGTGGAGGACTAGCTATGCATTTCACAAGGTTTTGAGGAAAGGTGGAATTTGCCGCACTGCTGCCCAGTAAGCACAAATACGTCCTTAGGCTGTCCTCGGGACGTCAGCTTGGGACATTGCGGAAGTACTCAGGACGTTCCGCAATGTCAGTTTGACGTCCCTAGGAGGTCTACAGACGGCCAAATGATACACTTTCAGATGTCCGTAGGACGTCCTGATTAGGACTATATCGGGATATACTCAGACCAGCTTATTAAGGTACTGTGAGGGCTTTTTGAGACTTTTCTTTGGAAATCCGCATGTTGTCATGATAACTATACAGGGTGTTCGGAAACGGTTGGGTCAAATTTTAAGGGTTGGCAGTCATTCACAAATATTTTGATATAGGAACATGTGTCTGGAAACGCCCATTTTCCGAACTACAGACTTTAAACTCATGAGCAAAATTCATATTTTTCGACTAACCTTGTATACGGCTTAAAAAAATTGATATCTGATGGTTGCATTTTAAGTTTTGGACTATGCAGAACTTTTTATCAAGCATAACTTTTTTTCATAAAACCAATACTTATAATAAAAAAGTTTTCCATATGGTTCCGACTTAATTGGACACACTGTATACAGGGTGTTTCAGAATAAGATGCTGAACCTTAAGGGTGTGAATCCTTAGTTGATTTTAAGAAAAAAAGTTCAAATAAACCTATGACCTAAAACTTTTATAACTTCCTAGATATTTTTATAAAATTTGGCACACGCCTTCTAAGCATTAATAGTAAGTTTTTGATGTAGAAGATTTTTAATTTTTTTTACCAGTGGCGCCCGTACAGAATGTGGTCTAGATATTTTTGGAAAAATATTATGCACGCCACTGCTATTTTTCAAAATAAAAATTATTTTTTAAATCCCCATTAATTTTAGGGCAAATTTGATTTCTTGACCATTTTTCGTACGACTAACGGTTTTCGATGAAAAAAATAAAAAGCATTTAATGCGCATATTGAGAAAACAATGCCATGATTAAAATTTAATAAACATTAAAATTAAAGGTGACAGATATCTGTCACTTTGCATCATTAGACAGGTGACATTTTTTGCCTTTTGGAAAGACGGCATGAAGATATCCAATATATATATATATATATATATATATATATATATATATCCCGTCCCTAGGACGTCATAGAATTAAATTGGCAATAGTATATATATATATATATATACTATTGATAATTTAATTCTATGACGTCCTAGGGACGTCCAAGGTACGTCAGAAATGGGATATCCTAAACTGGCCCGTACAGACCCAATCAGGATGTCCTTGGGAGGTCGTGTGCTATTTGGGTGTGGTGCCTTGGACGGCAAGCACATCACCATTCAAGCCCCTAAGAAGTCAGGAACTACTTTCTTCAATTACAAAAAGTTTTTCAGTATAGTTTTAATGGCAGTGTGTGATGACGAATATAAATTTACGCTAGTTGATATCGGTGCCTTTGGCTTCCAGAGTGATGGAGGTGTTTTTGGAACTTCAGCTTTTGGTAAAGCATTTGAATCAGGATCCATGAAACTGCCTGAAGCTGACACCTTGAGAGGCACACAACTGCATTTACCCTACTTTTTTGTTGCGGATGAGGCTTTCCCTCTGAAATCATATATTATGAGACCGTACCCTGGCCGCTACTTGAGTGTATGCAAAAATATATTTAATTATAGACTTTCTAGAGCACGACGCACAATTGAAAATATGTTCGGCATTTTAGCTTCTCGTTGGAGGATATTGCGACATAATATCATTGCTGAAGTGGATAAAATTGAGAAAATTACAGCGGCCACAGTTATTTTGCATAATTTTTTAAGGGCACATGAATCAGGCCTCCAAACCGTACATAGCTATTGCCCGCCTGGGTTTGTCGATTCAATAGGGCCTAATAATGAGATCATACCAGGAACTTGGCGACTGGAACAATTAAATGGCCCACAGAAAATTGGAAGTTGGTGCAAATACTGCTGCAAGAAAAGTATTGGCAATAAGAGATCGTATGGCCCAATATTTGCAAAATGAAAGGTATGTGAGCTGGCAGATGGAGTACATTTCGCGGGGATTATTGCCTAATGAACCTCTAAATGGTTAGTTTTAAAATAAAATGTAATACACATCAGGTTTAATAAAAAGCTTTTAATTTTTTTATTTAATTTATTTGTTTAAAAATTTCTTTAACAATTTTACATAGTTTGTAATTTATTTTACATTCGTACTTATTTATTTTTATCGCGTATTTTATTGCATTTCAAGTTCACTTAAATAATTATCTAAAACTTTCATAGTTTCTATTTTGCATAATCGTAGCTGGGGCGGTGGTAAACGGTTTAAATCTGCTACCAAAGAATCGCAAAAACTTTGCACAGAAGAAGTGCTACTACTAGACGTACTTTTTGATGCTACAAATGATTCGAATACGTGAACGGCTTTATTTAAGGTGCCCTGTATAGCGCAATTTTTACCACGAGGGGTAGACGTGACAGCAGATTGTGCGGATGATGCTCTGCTCGTTGATAATCCTCTGCTGGTTGATCTTGTAGGTGTGTCGGCCGGGGTGATAGGTTCCAGCATACCTGTATCCGTATTAAACATAAAAATTTCTTCAGTCTCTGTTGCTTCTGGAATATCCATTTCTTTCGATATTTCATCGTCCGTACCTGGATCTTCCAACGAAGTTGTATCTTCATCATTTGCCACATTACCAAATGTGCGCCGCCTTTTCACCACCGTATTTAAGAATTGTAGACATTTGTATAGGGACCACTCCGGTTTGCCACTGCATGAGCCAGACACCAATACTTTGGACCGTTCTTTTGAAAAATGAGCACGCAACGCGGCCCATCTTGCTTGGCAATCCGACACTAAAGTTGGATGAGATATTACTAGTATTTGTTGTTACCACCAACCCAACCCAACCCTCAAGTCAAATTCAATTAAAAACAGTGTTTACTCACCTTCTGTTTGCAACAATTTGCCGATTGTTTTCCATAAATTTTCTACTGCCACCTTATCTTTATATAATACATTTTTTTTGTCATATAAATGTGGAAATGTTTCCACCAGACTAATTATTTTTTCGTCCATCAGAACCTTAGAAGATCACAACGAATTTTGCAAAACAAATAGGTTATTCTTCTTCTTCTTTAAATTTCATTCTCTCCACAGGGTATATGGATTATCCATAATGGATAAAATAATTGTATTTTAATAAAATAATTATTTTATTAAAATAATTATTGGTTTCGACTCTAGCAATAGGTTATAATTTATAACTTATAAATCACATTGACAGACGGCACACGTGAACATTAGCTTGCATCCCATTGGTTGAGAATAATCCGTAATCCGTAAACATAAAAGTTGGCGAACTTTGCGCTACGAGATTGCGGTAAGAGATTAGCGCCAGTGATTATATACCAAAGCATTGAAAATGAATGTTTAAAGATAGTGGTTAGAGAATAAAATTAGGCTTATTGCCATTATAAATCATCCATAACACTTATAAACAAAATATAAGGTTATTGTTCAAGTAAAATTACACGCTGAATATGAATTGTTTTGGCGGTAATTTTGATTTTATTCAAGATTTAGAAGTCGGCCTGACAAAAATTCTGTGGGATAACGCAGTGCCTTTAAAAAAATGTGGCAAAGCATAAGAAAGAAGCACTACATTACCCCAAAAATTTTAAAACGTCGCAAAAAAGTACCTTCGGTCGTAGCTTAGCTCCATTTACTGATACTTAGTTTAGGAAAAATGTCGCAGGATAAATTATTTATTTTACTTCTCCCATTAGTAGGCGAAATAGCATTTCGCCCACGGGCTGACGTTAGCTTTAATTTAAATTAAAAAATGTTAGGTTACAGTTGCTTGACAGCTGTCAGATAAGGGATAAAATATAAAATAAAATTAACTTAACCTTGTGTTAGTTGAATAAAATATTGTGTGCGACTATTGTTCAAAAGAGAAGATTCCAATACTTTGTTACCGCAATTGCTACGCTTATGGGGAAAACTCCAAGCCAGAAGAATCTTCTCTTTACCAGTCGCGCAATATAGTTACTATTCTTTAACGGATGTTTTTTTGCCGAAATCGGTAAAAAATACTGCCACAAGAGCTCTTAAACAAAACGTGCACTACATTAGCCTCATTCAGAACCTCGTAATTAGTGCTTTTAATTAACGTAAAAGTTTGTCTTATGAAAAAAATTAGTGGTAGTACTTTTCAATTAGTGGAAAAAGTTTGTAAACTCCAAACTTTTGCCACTAGTTATGATTGGAAAGCGCTTTTGCGGTAATGTTATAAAAATATTATTATAATGGTTGCAAAAAATATTAAACTTACAAATAAATTAATATTGCTTATGACAGGTTAAGAATAATGGACACTCTTTTAGCAAATTCCCTTATTTTTAGATGTTATTTTTGCTAATTGTAAATGATCGTTTTGTATTAATTATAAGTATAATTGAAACCTCTAATTTATACCACTAATTACGAGGTTCTGAATAAGGCTTATACATTATAATTTGTTAAATCGTCTTAATTTTGGGTTATGATGCAGAATAATATAAAATTCGCGTCGTGCTCTCAATCTTGCCAACGTGTTTTAAAGCTTTTTTATAAACTTAAAACATAATCAGAGGTATAGAGGGGATACACACACATATATATATATACATATATATATATATATATACATATATAATATATATATATATATATATATATATATATATATATATATTATATATACACTGGCGAAACAAATTAACGCATCACCATAAATTTATCATTATTTTGTTATTAAATATTTTCCAAACCAATCATTCGATTTTAATGCTCTTTTTTTGGATTTTGTAAAGACTCCTAGAGAATGTTGTTATGACTTTAGTTATTTTATAAATCTTTGTGTCTTTTATATACGGGGTGTTAAACTGATACTTGACTTTTTTAAAAATTTTGAAACACCCTGTGGATAAAAGTGGCAGTAATAGCAAATCCTAAAAAATATTTAACTATAGCCTTATATATTTTTATCATTCTTTTTTTTATTCAACTTTTTATCTCTTTGATTAAAGAAGATACATAATTTAATAAAACTGCATGTTTTATTTACCTTTTTATACACATTAACTATGGTTTCGCGTAAAAATCGAACAAATTTTGGACATTTGTTTGCAAGTGATGCCAGAATTGAATATATTTTTTTAACCTTGTTTCTACATCTAAATGGTGCATTTTTTTCAACAAAAATTTCATCCATTGACCGCTGTGGTTTTCAGGCCTTAAGTCACTCTACTGTGTTAAAAATAGATAAATTTCAATATTCTGTAATAATATTTTGATTTAAAAACGTATTGATTTGAAATTCAGATAAAATGTAGACCTTATTAATGGCAATAAATCCACTTCATATTTTTTTTAGATTTTAACATAAAGGGGGCGCTGGGGACAATTTAATTTTAAATTTTACCAATTTTTAAGGGTTAAAAAATCGAAGAAGCAACATTGTTTTATAATTTTGACTATATTACATTAAAGTACTGATAATTAATTATTATTTGATAAATAAACTTCTACATGCAAATTATGTTTTTACGAGAGACATCATTTTTAAGTTAGGCCTTCAAAGGGCATAATACTAACGTGTTTTACAAAGTATATATTCTTTTATAGTTTTATAAGATAAAGTATTATATATTACATATTATACATTATATATTACATATAATGTATTATATATAACATACAATTCTTACATATTTATTTAAAAAAATCGCCATAGATGGAACTAAAATTACTTTTATTTATAAATTTAAATTTTTTTCAAGTTTATTAATTTTGACCATAGTAGGCATCATAAACTTTGATCTATGGTAACCTATCATTGTAAGCATGAAAGATAATATGACAGTTCAGTTTATAAGTTGCAAATGACTGATTGCGTTTCAATTTATTAGTGTACTATAAACTCAAAACATTAATTTATTAAAATGAATAAACTAAATAATAATTATAGACAGTGTCAGCAAGTTAAAAATTATAACCTACTTTAATTTTATTTTTCCCCACAACCAAGCTTCAATTTATTTTTGTACACGATACTATAATATATTCATATTCCTGCCAAAAGTCACTAACTGACATTTTGAAAAATGATAACAAATTGTACTTAACTATACAAATTTACCATATGTTTAATATTTAAAAGCCACTAGATGCCTAGAATAATAAAAAATGGTCGTTTTTGCATGGTTAAAAATCACTATAGTTTATAAACTGATGTAATAGATCAATAATAAAATATTAGTTAGTGACTTTTGGCAGGATTATGACGATATACTATAAACTTAGGAAAGTAATATTTATATACCCAATAAATAAATTAGAATAAAGACTTTATTTTTTATGTTGCGATAGGCTATTTATATATATTTTTTTTTATTTAGTTGTTTTAGTAATTAGTTATTTTGCATTTTGTTATATTTAATATAATGCTATACAGGGTGTTTCTGGAGAAACGCAAACGATATGGATTTGAAATTTTAATAGCATATATAATATGATTTACCCTATACCTAAAGTCAATAGTTTTCAAGATATTAATTTTTTCGTTATTATTTTGCTAAATGAGCGTTAATCAAAAATAGCCTCTAACTTTTTTGTTATTATGTTTGCCACTTGAAATTAGGCAAACTTCAAATAATAATTACGTATTTATTATAAATGTAAAACCCTGTATGTTTTAACATAATCAAATAGAAAATTAAAGAATCTTTCGATTGGTAGACATTTAACAATTTCTAATATTTTCAAAACTATTTTGTATCAATAAACCTGTGAAATTCTACATGTGGGTTAATGTGACAGTATCCATGGTTATCACTTAATCTGTCATTGTTTAAAATTAATTGAAATATTTTATAGAAAAATTATTAACTTGAAAAATATATATATATAATACTGCTACTGCTAATTTAAAACTGATCCTGGCCACAGAAACATCATTTGCATAAAAAAGTTAATATATCAAATATGAATACTTCAACGTGTTATACTCAAATTTATAAAACAAAGTTGCTTCTTCGAATATTTACCCTTTAAAAATTGTTAAATTTTAATTTAAATTATCACCAGCGCCCCCTGGATGTTAAAATCCAAACAACATATTACATATAATGTATTATATATAACATACAATTCTTACATATTTATTAAAAAAAATCGCCATAGATGGAACTAAAATTGCTTTTATTTATAAATTTAAAATTTTTTCAAGTTTACTAATTTTGACCATAGTAGGCATCATAAACTTTTATCTATGGTAACCTATCATTGTAAGCATGAAAGATAATATGACAGTTCAGTTTATAAGTTGCAAATGACTGATTGAGTTTCAATTTATTAGTGTACTATAAACTCAAAACATTAATTTATTAAAATGAATAAACTAAATAATAATTATAGACAGTGTCAGCAAGTTAAAAATTAAAACCTACTTTAATTTTATTTTTCCCCACAACCAAGCTTCAATTTATTTTTGTACACGATACTATAATATATTCATATTCCTGCCAAAAGTCACTAACTGACATTTTGAAAAATGATAACAAATTGTACTTAACAGTTTTTTATTATTCTAGGCATCTAGTGGCTTTTAAATATTAAACATATGGTAAATTTATATAGTTAAGTCTTAACTATATAAATTTACCATATGTTTAATATTTAAAAGCCACTAGATGCCTAGAATAATAAAAAATGGTCGTTTTTGCATGGTTAAAAATCACTATAGTTTATAAACTGATGTAATAGATACACACACTCAAAAATGTTTTGCATAATGGAATATTATTAAAACTAAATGAGATATTTTTAAATACAGGTACAAAAACTATTGTATTGTGCAATAACAAAAAACGCTCAAAAACGCGCAAAAAACATTATGTTTAAATCGACTAACAAAATTGTGCAAAAAAAATCCATATAAGAAAAGTTCAGTGGCATTCTAGATAATATGCAAAACATTTTTGAGTGTGTGTATATGTATTTGCTTATTTATTTTATCTTGAAGATCAATAATA